ATCATTTTTCAGATCCCAGATACAGGACTTCCTGGAGGATTTCTTGTAGGACTAGTTGTACAGTGATGAACTCCCACAGTTTTTGTTTGGAAAATACACTATTTCTTCCTCATTTCTGAAGGACAGCCTTGCTGGGTATAGTATTCTTGGCTGGCAATTCTTTTCTTTCAGTAATTTGAATATATCATTCCATTTTCTTCTGGCCTGAAGAGTTTCTGTTGAGAGGGAGCTCCCTTATAGGTGGGTGACTTGATGGTTTTCTCTTCTTTTATGATTCTCTCTTTGTCTTTGAGCTTTATCAGTTTGACTACAATGTGTCTTGGAGAGGATCTTTCTGGGGATCTGTAAGCCTCCTGAATCTGAAGATCTCCCTTTACCTGGAAAGTTTTCTTTTATTTCATTGAATAGGTTTTCCATGCTTTTTCCTTTCTCTTCCCCTTCTAGAACACCCATGATTTGAATGTTTGTGCACTTAAGGTTGTCTGCTAGCTTTCTTAGATTTCCATCATTTAAAAAAAAATTTTTTTTTTTGTCTGCCTGGATTATCTTGAAAAGACTATCTTCAAGATCAGAAATTCTTTCTTCTGCTTGTTCGAGCCTGCTTCTTAAGCTTTTGCTTGTGTTTTTTATTTTGTTGAGTGTATCTTTCAGTTCCATGAGTTCTGCTACATTCTTTTTTAAGGTATTAATCTCTTTGTAAATTTCCTCCTTCATATCCTGAATTTTTTTTTCTCATTTCATTATGTTGTCTGAGTCTTCTCATATCTCAGTGAGTTTCCTTAAGATTGTTGCTCTGAATTCCTTTTCAGTCATTTCAAAGGTTTCCTGCTCTATATGGTCTGGTATTTGAGAATTACTGCATTCTTTTGGTGGTATCATATTTGCTTGGGTTTTCATATCTCTAGTATTTCTACACTGATGTCTGGTCATCTGGTAGGACAGGTGCTTCTTATATTATTCTGAAGTGGGCTTTGAGGAGAGAGACATCCTCTTCTTTTTCTGGTCTCCACTGGTGACTCTCCTTGTGCCAATGCAGTCCAGTGTTGGGTGGGCTGCCTGCATGGTGGCTATGGCTACTGCTGTGGCATTGAGCTGCTTTGGCGGCAGGGGTGGCTGTGGTGGTAGCTGTTCTGGGCCACCCATGCAGAAGTGGTGCTTTCATTGTGCTCTCTTTCATGTCTTTGGGCGGGAGGTGCTGCCCTCAGCTACTGACTAGGACGCTGGGTATGCTCTCTTGCCTGCTTCTAGGCAGAGGGGACTGCCCTCAGCTCCTGCCTAGGACCCCGTGGGTGTGCTCTCTTGCTTGCTTCCAGGTAGAGAGGGATAACCTCAACTCCTGCCTAGGACCCAGGGTGTGCTCTCTTGCCTGCTTCTGGGTAGAGGGGGCTACCCTCGGCTCCTTCCTAGGACCCTGGGCATCTCACCAACAAAAATTTAAACCAAGGAGATAATTGGATAAGATGTTTATATTTAGATGTTTATCACGATACTCATTAAAACAATAAAAACCAGAAACAACCTAAATGTCTATTAATAGGGGGTTGGGTAAATAAGTCATGGCACATATATACAAGAAAATACTCTGCCACCATTTTAAAAATGAGAAAGACCAATCTACATTCATTCTTTACACACTTAAAAAGGCTGTAATTGGCGCACACAATGTGTTTCTCTTTGTGCAAAATGATTATCTATCTATGTATAAATTAATAAATGAATAGGGAGAATGTTCCAGGTGAAAGATTTTCAAAGAACTTTTGCTTTTATTCATGCCTTTCTATAATCAATGTGTAAATAGAGAAAAGGCAAATGTGTTTCGTGAAAAATGTATGGAAAAGCATGGTGAATTGCATCTGGATATAACTATTACCTGTTAGTCACTGAATACTTAGTGTTAACATAAACCTTCTATGACCTCTTCTCACTCTGAGGCCCACTCTTACTGTTCTAACCATTTTACTCCCCACATGTAAGATCACTGAATGCTCCTTGTGCTGCCCATAAATTGGAGGTCTACCTTCAGGCAGCAGTGATGCCCCTGTGATGCATTTACAAGTGTGGTTTTGTTTTTTGTTTTTAATTTAATTTAATTTTATCAATATACAGTGTAGTTGATTTTCGTGTCCCCTTACTGAATCCTGTGTGTTTTTATGGCGCTTCATTTGTCTTCTAAGACAGAAGTTCCTCTTAGTTTTACACAGCATTGCAAGTGCTTGGCATTGATGAGTCAGATTCCCCTGGTACACAGATGGCTGTGAAGGGAGCAAAGCCAGCAGCCCACACCACATTCCATGGAGAATGTGCAGAACACTGCCAGGCGCATGGCAGCACCCCACTCAGTTTCTAGAAGTTTGGTGAAAAGAGCCCAGTGTCCTCAGCAGGAAAACATGGCTGCCTTTGCTCATCCTTCAGGATGTGAAGAAATGGGCATAATTATTCTGTTGCAAATAATAATCATCACTGTATTTCTGAAGGCAATTAGGCAATATGTTTGCTGTACACAGCACAGGCTCTGGGGTCAGACTGAATGGTACTGAAATCCAGCTTTGAATTATAACTTGTGTCTGAACTTGGAAAATTACTACTGAGCATCTCTAAATTTCAGTTTCCACATCTGTAAAGTAAATCAGATTTACTGAAAAGAAAATCAACACAATATTTAGCTGAACTATTGTAGCTTATTAAAATCAACAACAGAGCAAACAACTATTAAACCAATGTATTATATAATACCAAGTGATGTGTTTCATAAGAATCTTTTACATAAAATAACTCTGATTACATTTTCTCAGAAATGTGGATAGAATTCATTAATTCATCCCACAACTATTAACTGAGCACAGGATTTGGTATTTGGCTGCATATTAGGCACATGTTCTATTCACAGGAGATAAACAGTGAAAAGAACTAAGTCCCTATTTTTATAAGGGAAACTGACGGTGAGTCTGAAAATACATGGCAGTATCAGTTAGTGAAACTCATAGGTAAAGACACAGAGAGCACTTCTTTTTCTTTTTTTTTTTTGTCTTTTTCGTGACCAGTAAGGGGATAGCAACCCTTGGTGTGGTGTCGCCCGCACCGCACTCAGCCATTGAGTGCACCGGCCAGTCCTATATAGGATCCGAACCCGCAGCGGGAGCATCGCTGCGCTCCCAGCACCGCACTCTCCCTAGTACGCCACGGCTCAGCCCCACAGAGAGCACTTCTAAGGAGGGAACACTGGAGCAGAGACCTGAAAAGGGAAGAGGCAAGTTATATGACCACGTGGGAAAAACGAGGTCCAAGGAGAGGGAAGAGCAAAGGCATAGGCTCCACTGCAGGAGCACATCAGGCACTTCTACAACACCGGTGAGATCACGGTGGCTCAAGAGGAGAAATCAGCCCAGAAGGGTAGCAGATGAGGCCTGAGAGGTGACTGGACCTGATCATGTGGGCTTGCAGGCCAACCTAAGGATGTGGAGTTTGTTCTAAGTGTGATGGAGAGCCAGCGGGAAGTTCTCAATGACATGATCATATTTTTACTTAAGAGGCTTACTCTGGCTGTTCTCGGGAAAAACAGATTGAAAGGAGGCAAGAGTGAAAGCAAAAAATCACTTAAACTAAACACCAGGGTAATAGTCTAAATGAGAGATGATGGTGGCTTGGAACAGAAGGAATCTGAAGATGAGGTGGTGAAAAGTGGTCAGAGGCAGGACATATTTTAAAGGTAGAGATGTCAGGATTTGCTGATGAACTGGATATTCCACTTCTAAGAACTTAACTCAAGGATTTCACTGTGGCTATTCAAAAAGATTTATATGCAAGGATACACAAAATGCTGCTTATATCCGGGTATAAGGTGATTAGTTTAATAAGCTCTGGTATAGCCACAAGCTGGAAAAAATGTAGCCATTTAGAAAAAATGATGTTGAATATATAATGACATGGAAAAAATATTTACAATACGTTAGGCAAACATAACTGGTTATAAAACAAAGTATTCGGGCTGCCACCGTGGCTCACTCGGGAGAGTGTGGTGCTGATAACACCAAGGCCACGGGTTCGGATCCCATATAGGGATGGCCAGTTTGCTCACTGGCTGAGCGTGGTGCTGACAACACCAAGTCAAGGGTTAAGATCCCCTTACCGGTCATCTTTTAAAAAAAAACAACAACAAAGTATTCAACACTAATACATTTTGTCCAAATGAAACGCATAGGGAAAAGACTGAAGGCTATACACCAACACGTTACCAAAGTTTTTCTCTGACTTGTG